TATATATATAATATGTATGGTTTACAGCAATGATTTGAAATATTTACCATGTTTACCAGTTTTATATTTTATTTTTAATAAGAGCGCGATGATTGATGCTCTCGCACGCAATGATGCTGTCGACGCGTAACATGATACCGCAGAGATAAGGGAGGAAGGAACAATTAATTGCAAACTTTGAGATATACAATTTACGTATGCATTTATTTTTCATGCAGTGCATTATATACAATATTATCTACAGCGTAAACTATCAATTGGCATGCAATACCAGAATGCTTATCATAAATCCTACGTAAAGTGTTTACCGCTTCCAATTTGTTCATAATACAGTTCTGACGTAAATAATTTACAAAATAGTCAAATTTATCGCTTACAATATTTGTATATTGACATAAATCAAAATATGCGTGTTCAACACATTGTTCGAGTTGAAGCATAAAAAATATAGTCGATGGTTTCATATACACACACTTGTCACATAAAGATAATTTCACATTGTCCACATTACGTATTTTAACCAGTTCAATGACAAGGTACTGAATCATCAACGGTGACGGAGTAGATGACCGCATCAATTGCTGGATGTCCGATCGTTTTTCGATAAACGCCATCCACGTAGCGTGTGGCAGGACGATACGGTTGCCTCGAGTATCGCCAATCGCAATTTCCACTTGAGACATTGTCCCGCGGCGATCCCAATCTCCAGAAATTTGTACGCTGTCGGTGTCAGGGCGAACACCTTCCTCAAAATGCTACGTGCACTGTAGGAAACATACGAATAAACAATATAGAAAAAAATTTTTTCGCAGATATAAGTGAAATACGTACAGTCAAACGTACGGTCAAACGAGTTCAGAGCAACTGATGAAGTCCCCCTCAAATTCTTTATAAAGTTTCCCCTACCATAGCACTTCGAGGATGGATGTTGAATTTATGTATCAATTTCAAAGAATAGTTTATATGAAATTACTTGAGAATCTTTAATCACACACCTGCGAGGTGTATAATAAGCCCGACAGATACGATTAGTCCGTGTACACGAGAATAGTTTCTATTTCAGCGTCATCACTTTTAGAGAATAGTTCATATGAAATTATTTGAGAATCTTTAATCACACACATGCAAGGTGTATAATAACCCCGACAGATACAATTAACCCATGTGCAATACCACGAAAGAATATCACCAAGTATTTCCGCACAACATGTAGAAAACGCTGATCGTCTACATTGACCGTCTAATTCATCATAATCGTAAACCCTTTCGAAGTGTTGAATGTTTACCACACCAAGTACCAGTGCGTGTTAAAACATTGCGGAAACCAAGTTCCCGATTGCGTATCAAATGCGGGAGCGATGAGCAATTACGGTTAGCCATGTTTGCACAGACTGACTTTGCACGATCCCCGTCAGTATTTATATTTTCGTTCCCACTCAACAATAGTAAAAAATGCAATGTTTGCGAAAACATGTCGCAACATGTTTCGCGATGACACCATCAATTTAGCACGTGCAAAAATGCACCCCTTACAATAAAAGAGGCATCTGAGGATGACTTCAATGTAATCTAATACCGCAAATTGTAGCGTCAGCAAATATGCAACTGCTTTGTCAGCATAATACAAGAAATTTTTTCAAGGACATCATTAATGTAATTTGATACAACACGTGCAAAAGTGCACCTCTTACAATAAACGACGCATCCGGTGATGACATCGATGTAATCTAATAAAGCAAAATGCAACATTTGCAAATATAGAACTGCTTTGTCAGCGTAGTATAAGAAATTTTTTCAAGAATCGTTAATGTAATTCAAGATTTTATATTTCAGTCAACACCGATATGAAGCTTATTGGACCAGTATCTCATAAGTAACCTTATAAACTCAGCTGCTTAAATGTAATCTGTCTTTATCAATATTGTTTATCAATCCTGTGTTAACGATTAAACATATTTTATGTTTAATTAATGTTATAAAGAGTTAAGATTTTAGTTGTTGTGATTTGTTAATTAAAACATTTAAAAGAATATTACAAATTATTATATTTAAGATGACAGTAATGAAAATTTCATTAACATACACATGATCCTTTCATGTTTTTAATAATATGTAACCTCATTATACAGTTATCTTCGTGGTTCAACTTATCCTTCGAGAATGCTCCACATATCCACTTGCATCCTTGTAATTAATATAATCTTTTTCATGTTTACGAGATATATCAAGAATTTATAAGTACTCAATTATTAAGACAGATGAACATGCAACGTAAATGCTTTTAAAGCATTTGTCATTAGTTCATCTATAATTGTGTGAAGATTTATAATAATTTCAAGAAAAAGTGTCACAACTAGCCTCGCTCTACCCTACATCGAGACTCCGTACTAGATGATAGCAACACCTTTTCTACCGAATCGCGGTTTACGCTATCACATAATACTCCACATTAATGTATATATATAACGTATAATAAATTATTTGTCATCAAACGAAATTGATGAAATATATTATTATATTTTTCAAACACAATAAGTGAAGAAGGTCATCTGCGGTTAAAATGGATCTTGGTGCTTAATAATATTCTGTAAATTTTTTTATTTTTTTTACAATTTGTAGCTCACTGCGCGAGATCTTATCGGTCTTGAAATACAATCCTAAAGTCAGAGTACGTATTTTCACAAATTAAATTAACAAGCAATTTAATTATATCTATGCTAATCAATTTATTATATTGTGTTTCAGGTCCAAGGAAGCAGTCATCTGATGCTGAATTCAAAAAGGACTTGTTCAAAATGTTATCAGATAGTAGCAAAGCTCCTGACGGTGTTGAAGGATTTTTGCTTCAACTGGGCGATATTTTAAGAAAATTGCCATATAAAAATAGAAGACTACTTGAAACTAAAATTAGGATGGATGCATTAAAAGCAGAAGAGGCAGGACTTATATAATATTTATAAAGAAAATTATTATCTCGATGTAACATTTTTATTCTCATTCTTAGAAAAAACATAAAGTACAAAACTGTATCGGATTCATGTTTACTTACAAAATTATTTATGTAGGTAATTAATATACACATTCACCTATACATTTTCTGCAGATTTATTTTAAAATTCATTATTCTCAGCTTTCTCCCATTGCCATTGTACAGTGCCTTCATTTACAAAATAGTTGGCAAATCTTTCTCTGTAAATACTGGACAAGTTACGTGAAATAACATCTTGGTTAACCTGATTTCCTATATTTCTAATAATGCCAAGCGATGTTTGCTGCCTGTCGTGTCTATTATATTGTAAGTATTGTCTTTCCTGAGGTTTTCAAGTTCCTTAGTGATGATGAAATTGTGTAAGCAGATAGTGGCCAACACTATCTTTTCGGCTTTCGAGACGTAGGTATTGATTGGTCTTCGAAAAATTCGCCACCTTCCTGCAAGTATGCCAAAAGCTCTTTCAATAACTTGTCTGACCCTGCTGAGACGATAATTAAATACTTTTTTCTTCAAATCTAGTTGTGAACTTTTTGGATATGGTCGCATCAAGTATGGTGACAGCGGGTATGCTTCATCAGCCACCAAAACAAATGGTAACTCGTATTGATTAACTGGAGAAGGTGGAGGCACATTCAAAGTATTTGCATCTAGTCCTGATTTTAATTTGCTATTAGCAAAAACTCCAGCATCGCTACGACGACCCTCTGCTCCTACATCTACCAAAATGAACTTATAGTGCGCATCTGCAATGCCAGTAAGATTCAAACTATGGGTTTTTTTTATAATTGTAATAGAAGGAGCCACTGTGAGGAGGAGCCTGTAATTTAAATTTTAAAGTCGTCTATTTCATGAATGTTAAATACAAAAGATGTCTGAATAAATTATTATTACCTCTACTACGATGTTTCCCATCTATTGCCCCCATGCAATGAGGGAAATTCCACATTGCTTCAAAATTTTCTGCTATCTTTGTCCATGCATCCTTGTTTGGTATTGGCATAACTAAATCCTTTAATTTAAGCCAAATTTCATCACAAGTTTCATGAATTATTTGCGAAACAGTGTTTAGAGAAACTCGAAATGCATATCCTATTGATCTCATGCTGTCTCCACTGGCTAAATACCTCGGGGTGATCCCGATTGATCACGGCTCGATTGGACACCACCAATCAGCGACCGGTGCTTAGGAGCATTGTAGTCTCAAGCGCTGTGAGTGACTCGCGTCCAATTGAGCCGTGTTCAACTGGGTGCCACCCAATACCTCAAGCAAATTTGCAACCTTGTGTGAGAAGCAATTGGTTCTCTAATATTTGTTTGTTTTCATTTCCAGGACCTACTATTGAAAGAAGATGTTCGAAGGTGCCAACATCCATTCTCAAATAATTAAAGTGCAGCGAAGGATCAGTTGCTTTCAGCATAGTAACTAAATTGTTACTATCACCTTGGCGAAACCGCTGCTCTACTGAATAAATGGGTCTGACTCATTCACTTCTTTTGGATTTTCTTTCTGACAAGGCATCGTAAATTGAGTATAATTTGAGCAAAGTTAACCTTATTTTCCCCTTTCGATAGTGCATCATTGGAGTTTTCAAGAATATTTTTATTAAGTGCTTAATAGCTTCAGTTGTCATCATTATTTTATTATCCATGATGATAAAAAATTACTTACTGTATGATGGCTCAATTGCATCAAAGTTGCGCAAATATACTCAAGATCAAGACATCAAGAACAATGACGCATGACGCATTACGTGAGATTTCGGCGTGCCCTGTTCACACGCTGCGGAAAAATGGTAGTAAATTCTTTACAGCTGATCAAAACATTGTTTTGAGATTGTAAATATTAATTCTAAAATATTAAATACCACAACAGTGATAATTGTTTTTACAATTTGAGAAATTATATTTTATTTTAATAAGCAAATTATTAACATAAAGTTAGAAATTTCTAAATTTATTCATCCTAGATGCATCTTTGACGCATCATGTGAACATAGCACACAAAACTTGCGTGTTAGAAAAGTGCGGAATAGCGCTGATTGGTTGCTTCAATGACGCACTCTGTATTTCGCAGCCCTATGACGCACCGTGTGATTTCATCCAAACAGAATTGGCATCTCTGGTTACAGCGCATGCGCACGAAAGTAGGGATGGGCGATGTACAAGAAAAGTATCGATTCTATAATAATCGATTATGATCCAATCCGATTTTTAATTAGCCGATTCATCGCGGAAGAAAACATCGGTGTTGGCAAAATCGATCATTTGGAGAAAAAAAACTGATTACTAAATTTTATTTTTTTTAATTATTAATTTTTAGAAATATATTGAATTATAATTTTTAAAATTATTTTTATCACAAAATAAAAAAAGAAATAGAGTACA